AACAACAAAAATTTTTTTCGAAAGAAATTTTCATTTCAATTCCTTATTGAAATCGAAGATTTTACCAAAATTTTCTATTAAAAAACTACCATTTTTATTAGTGTTTTACCGAATTGAAGAAACAAGAAAAATTCAAACTTATTTATCATTTTTTTTGTTGTTTTTTTTTTGGTAAAGTAATACGAAAGAATCGTCAATTTTGAAATATTATACGGAAATTATCATGATGGTTGGACCGTTAATTTCTTTTCTTTTTTTTTTGTTCGGTTATAAACCCAAGAAAAACCAGCCATCATTATCATTAAATATTTCATCACAAACATATTATTTCATTCAAACCATGACAACGTTTGATTATGAATAATTTTTTTATTATTTTAAATTAGTTGATTGAATTAGTTGTTTTTCCCGTTAAATTTAGTTGTTTTCGACTAATTTTTTTTTTGTTCTTTTGATTCGATTGATACTACAGCTGGGTTATTTTTCAAATTATCATGATGATGATGATGTAATTTTGATTTCGAAATATATATTTTTTTCATTTTACAAAAAAAACTGAAATTGTTGATTGTTTTGGCTGAAAAAAATGCCAAGCGACACTGAAATTATAAAAAAAACTATTTCAACCTGAAAGTCGAAAAGAAGAAAAAAAAGTTTCTAAAAAAGTTTTTGATGTTTGTTGTGATGTGAAATTCGCAAGAAAAAAACAATTAAATAAAAACTTGGATTCTGTAGTCTCGAGAAACATCTAGAATTGAAAATTGAAAAGAATTTCCCCCACACACAAAAAACAAATTCCATGGGGAATCTAGTTTTTTCACCTTGAAATTCAAAAAACAAATCAAAACATTAGGTCATTGATAACAATCTTTGATTAATTAACTTTGATCTAATCAAAGATCAAAAATAAAGATGAAAATCTTGCAATTATCATTGACATTGATAATCAAAATAAAAAATTAATCAAAAGAGATCAAAGGGTTATGATGATGATGATCAATGATCTTCTGACAAGCATTGGATAACCCAAAAAGATTGATTTTTTTCGAATTATGAAAGAAAAATCATGTTTTTTTTTTGTTGTTTTGATTAACACTTTAGAATCATCATTATCCCCCTCTGTATTTTTTTTCTAATTAAAAATTCAATTTTTAAAATCGATACAACAACACAAAAATTTAATTACTAATTCGGTTATGATATTTTCCTCAATTTATAGAATCAAAAACAACAACATCATCATGTTTTTCTAATCTAGTCTAACGAACAATCAATCATAATCGATGAATGAATGGAAAAAATCTAAAAAAATCTAAACCGTTAGACATGCACAAACAAACAAACAAACAAACAAACAACAAACGAATGAATCCTGTTTGTCTTAAGTTGTGTTAAAAAAAAATAAGAATTTCTTCATTCAGGGATTGCAAAAAACAAAAAACAAAAAAATCCATGATGACAAACTTTTTCAAAGACTAAAAGATTCTTTCCAATTAGCCAATGTTGTTTTTT